GGGGGGGGGGGGAAACAAAGTGAAACTGTGTGGGGCAGCCTCGCCGACTAACCGCGGCTTCGAACGGCGGCGAAGGCCGGCCTGCCATGAGAGCAAACGGTGTATTGCTCAACGGCTTGGAGTGCCTCTATCAGCTTTTCCGCGTCCACTCTTGAGAGGCGGTCGCCGAACATGACGGCCCCCCGGCAGGAACGCTTTACCAAAAACTGAAGAATAACAGATGGCACGGCGCTCTTGTAGTTACGCGGCTCTTCCCCACACTTGCTGTGCCGGCAGTCGGCCCGCGGCGCGGCGACCGTCGAGGTTGGGGGGAGAACAATCGCAAATTCTTCCACAGTTGCGCGAAGTGCCTCCACGGAGTCCAGCAGTAGCGCGTGCCCCTCCACCACAAGGCGCGGCCAGCACGTGACCGACACACGCCGCACTGGCGTATGGGAAAAGGAAGCTGCTCCGACTGCCCCGTTGCTGTGCGCAAAGCGCCACCCCCACCGTTTGAGCATCGCCTCGTAAGTGACAACGTCGCGGCAAATGTCGGCGGGGACCTCGACAGTGAAGGAGGCGGGTGCCGAGCCATGCTGCACGTACGACTCCGCGAAAGAAAGAAAAAATTCTAGACGTAGCCGCTCGTGGACAGCGTGCTGATCCACAAGGTATAACCTTGCTGGCAGCGAGGCCCTCGATGTTTTGGTGGCACATTGCGAGAGGGAAAGGTAAACACTTTCATCCACCAACGCGTTGCTATGCGGCATGCCGGGGCCGCCCATACAAAGGAGGAGAAACTTTCGGTCCCATTGTGCAATGAAATGCTCTGCGCGAAAAGGGCAGCGCCCACGACGGCTTTCCGCATGACCCACGTCTCCTGTTCTCGGCCACACCGCCGGCACACCGTAGGCGCGAACAGCGATTTGGGCGGGATCCAGTTCGAGCTGCATCGCCGAGCGTGCCTGAGCGAGGCTGCTCGTGCCGCACGTGTACTCACGTTTCCACTTCAGCGGATAAAAGGGCGTGCGCCGCGGAACCGAAAGTACTGCGCCGTCCGAACGCTTTGAGGCAAACGTGCGCCCGGTCGAGGAGAGAAGCTGCGACAAAAACGATACTCGAAGCGCCGCTGTTGGTGCAATTTGGTCCGCCCTCAGTGCTCCACATGGTGCTGTGAGTTTCCCCACGACACAAACGGCCTCTGTCCTTTCTTCATCGTCTTCGGTTGCCGAGTTGGGCATGTTCCGTGTGCTCAATGGCGCGGCCCGGCGGTGGTATCCTCGCACCGCCGCCCCAAACATGCTCCGTAGCGTTCCGCCGTCGCCCTGCAGCAGAGACTCCGCCATCAACACGAGGAGCGGGCGTGACGTGGCTGAAATGCGCGCGACGTGGCGATGCACCCAGTGCGATTCATCAACAACAAAGCACGTTGCGGAGGCGGCGTGCATTGACACCACCACCACCGCCGCCGCCTCTTTGTGATAGGAAGAGGGGGGTGAAGGCAGACCCCAAAGTCCGTTCGCACCGTGGTGATTCATCGAGGAAGGCAACAGGAATAATACAGCGAACACGCCACGTTTAACCACAACTTCACAAAGGCGCAGCAACGCGGATCCTCTCACGCAATCCGACGCACCATCTGACAAACGGAGATCCGGGAAAAAAGCGCCGAGGACGCGGTACGCCACACTCAGCTTCTGTGAACTAGCCTCGCTTCGCGCCTCGGTCCGCTGTCGCTTGGCCAACGGCTCCGTCACCTCTACATTACTTGGCGCCAAGAAGCTACTCACATAGGTCGCATCAGCGGCATCAGCTGCGGCTCTTCCTTCTTTATCATCGCTTCCCACTCGAAGGTACAACGAGGCACTGTGGTCTGTGTCTTTCTTTGAAGAGAGGTACAGCGGCGCCAGGACGCACTCCAGTGACATGCGGTATGCCGCCATCAGGAGGGCCTGCCGTTCGGCGCGGAGTCTGTACAATGTGTGCGATTGCCGAGATGCACTCTGCCGCCGAACGGGCATACAGCAGAAGAGGCCACGAACCTCGCAGCGCAGACGAACGGCCATGAGGAACGAATTTTTTTCTGTTTCTCGGTGCTGTTGCTGTTGTGAGAGTTGTCGAAGCTGTGCTTGCACCTGCCCCGCAACAACGCCACGGACGCGCGTTACGGTTTCTTCTTCTGACAACGGATTTGTATGTGACCAGCGCTTCTCAAAGAGCACCTGCGATTGTTCGGAAGAGAGAGACACGCTTTGCCTCCCGTGTACATCACTCCTCAATAAGAACTCAGCCGCAACACAGAGTCGCACCTCTTCACTGACGGCGCTCAACTCCGGCAGCCACTCCACTTCCCCACCCTTGTTGCAGACCAATCCAACACTCACACAGTCTCGGCAATGCTGGTAGTCAGCTCTGAGCTCCACTGTGAAATGTGATGCAGAGGGCAGCGCGACCACGCGGACAGCGCGTATCCTCCCTCCCCAAGTCAATGAGCGGAGGAATTGGTACGCCCCCTCCACTGCGACGGTTAGCGACGGCAGGCGATGCGCTGCACGGATCTTGACTACCTCATGTGGGTGAAGCGGCCGAACTGCAGGGAATGGGCCACCGGTGGGCGCAACGAGCGCGTCACTCATTACTTTTGGCTTTCCCTTGGTCTCTTGCTATGCGGGGGCCCCATTGTTTATCATATATTAAGCATGCGCATATATGCAAGTGGGAAAGGACGGGAACCAACACCGGGAAAAAAAGACAAATCACACGAGAGATGAAAGCTGACTATCGCCCAAGTTAAATGGGAGAAGACATTTTCTCAAAGAAACGGAACTATTACATCCCCATGGGGCATAAAGCAGCGCTGCAAATCAGGCAGGCAGCAACATAGCAGCGGCAGCAGCAGGGGAATCAAGCATTGCAGGCGCCTACACAAAGTATATATCTTTTTTTTTGTCTCTCTCTCTCTCTCTC